TGACTTGCATCAAGTTCGAGTTGTGGGAAATAATACTTTCCTTCTAAGCTCATATTATAAAAAGTTGTATGAGACTGTTATAAACTGACTTGAGAATAGTCCGAGCATGATCTCATCAGTTGGAACAGAGTATGAAATCAAACACGGAGCCTTCTCTCTTTTCTGAGGGATCTGTTTTAGAGATTTTTAAATTACAGAGATTCCTTGAACTGGAGGATAATAGCAGAGGGCCCACAAAGGAAATAAGAATAAAGCAACAAGGGTTTAAATAACCATGAGCAAAAGTAAAAGGGACTGTTTATTGCATCCGCCACCTCCCTACCAAGTGTCTCCTGGAGCCCCTGGTGTGGACAGTGTGACCGCACGTGGCTGGCCGCTCTGCATTCTGCAAGAGCTGTGGCCGAGGGCAAGAGTGCCAACAGGAAGGTGGGAAGCTTCCCAGGGATGTTTTTCCTGGAGGTGAAGTCTCTCCTCCCCTTGGGACTGAGCAGCCTGGCCGCCCTGGGGTTGGAGAGCATTTCCCTTCTCCTCCTCTTTGCTGGTGGTGAGGTTGGCAGCAGCTGGTGGAGTCTAGACCAGATCTGGCACATGGGAGAATCTTCTGTGAACATTTTTGATCAGTGACTCACAATTTTAAGAATGGATTATTTTTGTATAAAACGATCTTGAAGTTGTGCTTTAAAGACTCAAGCCAGTTTCTTAGAATACTCTCCAAGTAAGTTAATCACGCAGAGGTCCCGTGAATTTTGTGGCATCCTTCTTACCAAATTTTCAAACATGGTCAGGCCGGCATTTCAAGCTTCTCACAGTTGGAGCTGTAGCTTTTCAGAGGTTTGGAGGCATTTTTAGACATTACCATGCTGGCTGCTTACCTGGCTGATTGGCACCTTTTCCAGAGCTTTGTTGCTGGTGGAAACCTTTTCCTTAACAGTGTGGTGAAATAACAAAAGGGTTTTGAAAAAGTGGGATGAGAGGCACTTTTGAAGATACAAATCTTCAATATATTTAAAACATGACTCAGAAGGATTCTGCAGAAAATGTCCACTGAGAAAAAAAAATGTAAGAATAATAGCAGATGTTAAATTTTATTTCCCAAGACTTAACAATAGCCAGAAGATCACTGGAAGAACAGAAGAGGGGGGGGGGTGGCGCTATTTGGGGTATCTTTTTTGAATGAAGCTTTTGGGCTTCTTTAGGGGTCTGACTTCCGGACCATGGGACTGGCAGAAAGTCCGTGTGTGAAGCCAGGAGGGTTAAGTACATTCTGCAACTTTGGCCTTGTAAGCTGTGATCATTTTTAAGGTTGACGAGCATAGTTCACTATGAAGTGAAGCAAGAAAATTTGGCATTTATACGTTGTGAGTCAATTTTGACATCAGCCTGGATTGGGAATTGACTGGGAGGTTTTGGTGTTGGCCTGTGGCTACGCTGCTGTGTCTCGATCCAGAGGCATGCATGAGCAATACTTCCCTTTGGGCCTTGGCCATTAATTTGTGGAATGGAGCAAGAACTGGAAAGGAAAATTGAGAGACTGCCTTGCATTTCCTGACGTCCTGTTGAATCAGAAAGCAGTGGGAGGCCCTTTCCTTCCTGACAAAGGCCTCACCCCGTTGCATGAAATTCCCAGCATCTGTCTCTGGGTCAGGGACAGCCCCTTTCTAACCCATACTTTATATCATAGTCACCACAGGGCAAGTCTCTGCGCTCTGCCTATTTCAGGTGTTTTCCAGGCCACTTCCCTCCGTTACGTAACTTTGATCAAATCCAGATGTTGCCGAATGTTTGATAGAAGAGGTCAAATGGCATTTGAGAAGAAAAGCATTTCTGTATTCATGTCTTTGGTTTAATTTCCTGTGGGCCTGATCTGCCAAAGTCGTATGCCCCTGGCCACTCGGTTGGGACACTAGAGGGAAACGTACAAGCACCTTTTCAGGACAACTTGAGGAGGTTCCTCCCACCCGTAGGGTACTTTTCCATGTTAGATTACAAATGATATAAGTGCCATCTGACATCTATTTATAACAGTTTTTCTATTTCATAATTGTTGCACGATTTTAAAAATAGTCCGCATTCTTTGTGAGATGTATGTCCAAATACAGAAAAAAGACAGTTTAAAATGTAATCCCACTACCCTGAGTTAACACTGTTAGTGGTACTGTTAACACATGGTCCTGAGTTAACCACTGTTCACCTTTCCTTCCAGACTTTTTTCAGTTTTAACAAAATTGGGATATACTGGGTTGTAATATGAACACTTAAACAGCATACTATGTTCCCAAGCCATTAGATGTTTTTTCCAAAAAGATTTTGAATATGTTCTGTTTTAAGGATGGATCACAAACTAACTTAACTGTGTATTGGTTGGGTTTGTGTTTTTTTTTTTTACTTTGACTTTTCTGTGCTATTATGTAAAAATCAGTACATACGAATCATTGTGTGGATTTCTTAGGATGGATAAATTATGGTGGTAGATTAAAGGTTATGGAATTTTTTAAAGATTCAGTTTGTATTTCCAGTTGCCCTCCTAAAATGTTACAGCAGTTTCTGTAGCAACTACTGGTATTGGTGAGAGTGCCCATTTCATTGACGTCTTAGCACTGAGCCTCAGGAAACTATCTGCCAGTTTGATGAAGAATTTGCATTTCTTTGATTACTAGCCAGGGTTAACATGCTTTCCACGTTGAATGGTAATTTAAACTTTCTGTGAATTGCCTATTCATGATTCACATTCACTTCTCCGTTGTGGAGGGATTTATCTTTTTCTTTTGATCTACAAGAGTTCTTTTATGGTGAGACTCCTTTGCCCCCTCGTAGCTTACTTACCATGTGACAGACGAGCACTCCCCGCTTGGTGCACTGACTGACTGGCTTGCTAAGCTGACCGCCATGCTCCTCCTTTATAAACCATGCCTCCCCGGTGCCCACAGCCCATGGGACAGGGCAGCCACTCCCCCACTCTCCCCTGCCTCCTGAGTCACAGCCACAACAAGCAGCACATGTGTTTCCAAATCTCTTTGAGTATACATGTTTTAATTACCTGCTTAATATGAAGCCAGTAAAATGCAAGTGGGAGAAGATAATTGTTTCTGTGAAAATTGAGATGAATGCTTTAGACAGACTCACTAAAGGCAGGTAACTTTTAAAAAAACTGCTACCGGACTAGGTGTGAATGAGCAAACTATGAACTATGGGAATTGTACTGGGAACATAGTGAATGGCTCCAGTTGTCCTTCCTCCTGCACAAAATTGGAGCTGTAAGTAAAATGATGCATTTGTCTGGAGGCCTTGCAGAAAAAGAGCGCATCTAATGCTAACACATACCCACACTCGAAGGGACGGTCCTTGGCCCTGTAGTTAGATTAGCAAACCAATGTGCGTGCATTCAGGGTGCGGTGGGAGATCACATACTCTATTTAAAAAAATTCCCTACTTTAACCAGCTTTGTTTAGATAATTGATCGATCACTGATCATGATGGCGCTGGACATACTTTTAGAGCTGATGCAAATACTTGGGGATGGGGGGCTAACACATCACTAAGTTTTTTCCACATTCTAGGAAATGGTAGTTATAAGACCTTCTCCCTTCAAAGTATCTTTGCCTTCATGATTCTTCATAAGATGAAATTACCAAACACAGTAATGACATAATTTGAGATTTACTCTTTTAGAAAGACACTTCCTGAAGTTAACAGTATGAAAGCTAGAGTTGAAAGACTTTCGTTGGTTGATTCCAAAGAGAGATTTTAAAGGATGGCCGTTCCTGAGGTTCTCCAGTCGTGCCTCTGGAGGGATGGCCTGGTCTCTGGGATGTCCGAGGTGCGGAGTCAGGACCGTCCCTGAGAGGGTGTTACTGTCCAAGGAAAGATATTTGAGTAAAAGGTATTTGGGGGTCCTCTAAATCCAGAAAGAGGGGAAATTAAAGCAGTTTTGTTTGGTTACTGTTTAGGTTTGGCTTAAACATATGGTACTTGCTTCTTTCAAGTTAGAATTTCGCCTCTGGTCCCCTTTTTAAAGTGCAATTTCCTATTGTAGTTACCTTAAAGGAGTATTCAGATTTCACTCCATAATATTCTATGACTATTAGGATCTACCTGGAGTGGATTTGCTAGTTTGAAAGAACCTTGTGCCTATTGTTGTTATCACAGATACTCGAGAGAGTTTGAGCATCATAGTTCAAGGAATAAAGAAAGAAAAAAGAAACTTCAGGAAAAAATAATGAGCTATTTGATCCCGTAGTGAACAATAGTCACACATTCCTATATGAGTTGTTAACTGGTTTTCAACTTTTAGAATCTATCTATACATAAAATATGGAAGACTTTTTATTATGGAATAATAATAAAAATAAAAACACTGTTACTGATTTTCACGAGGTAAAAGAAAATTTGAAATAAATAGTTGAGAGAACTGGAAATTTGAAGTTAACCAGTGGAGGACGGCACAGGAGGGATGGGGGGAGGGGAGCAGGGGGCGTAGGGACATGGCTTACGTTTACAGAGACGGAGGGGAGCACCTAAAAAATAGCTGTTGCCTCTGGGCATGGAGAAGAATGGGATAGAAAATGTTTGTCTTTCATTATAAGCCCTTCTGTACTGTTAGTTTTTTTACATTACGTATATACATTAACTTCAGTACATTTTTAAAATATTTTAAAGCAAAACCCTTTTACTCCATGTTACAACATAAGCAATGGCAAAAATATAAGGATGGACTGTATTTCCATTTCCAACTGAATTCATTTTGAATTAACGAATTTTAAAAGCGTAAACTATTTGGGAACAGTAGTTAGCACCTTGAAATGAAAATACTTACGGTTTTCGCAAGATTTGGGAAAGGAAGAATCTTTTTTTTATCACCTTTCTTACTAATATATAATATGTACAGATGTTAAGAAATGAAATAAATTAGAAATGTATGATGATGGAAACAAACCTTTTTTGTTCCTGAGAATAAAACTAATTTTCTTCCCAATTCTTCTGTTTCCCTCTTTCTCTTCCAGAAGCTCTTCAGAGGCCAGTAGCGTCTGACTTTGAGCCCCAAGGTCTGAGCGAAGCAGCTCGTTGGAACTCCAAGGAAAACCTCCTTGCTGGTCCCAGTGAAAATGACCCCAACCTTTTCGTTGCACTCTATGATTTTGTGGCCAGTGGGGATAACACTCTGAGCATAACTAAAGGTAAAACAGCTGTGGTGGTTGCAAGACACTGAAATCAGGGGAAAAGGTGGCTTGATTGGCCATCTCTTTGATGATGAGAGCAACTTTAAAGTTTGGAATGTAGAGGCATGGAAAAAACAACAGTATCTTTATAAGAGAGATACTTTTCCTTAAGGAGAAGAGTTCTTGCAAAAGTCTTCCAAAAAAACAAGAAGAGTCCTTAGCAAAAACCGAGTTTTCCCTATTTCATACTGAAAAGGACACCTGGACCAAACACTGAAAATACTTCCCCCCCCACCCCCAAAAAGCTTCCTTATATTAGGAACAGAGTACTTGAGTAAACATAATAGATTTACAAAACCCAGGCTATATATTTATCTGTATGTTCAGTACAAACAGGAAGCTTCATATATAAATATGCTCACATACACTTATAAATGTATGTATTTGTGTGTTATGTGGACTTGTTAAAATGAAGTAGGTAATTAGGAATTTGGAGATTTTTAGTTATACAAGAATAAATGGACCTGAATAAAGCCTTTAAAGCTGATATGTCTGACTTGATCTTTTCTTCTAAGGTGAAAAGCTCCGGGTCTTAGGCTACAATCACAATGGAGAATGGTGTGAAGCCCAAACCAAGAATGGCCAAGGGTGGGTGCCAAGCAACTACATCACACCTGTCAACAGTCTGGAGAAGCATTCCTGGTACCACGGGCCGGTGTCCCGCAACGCCGCCGAGTACCTGCTGAGCAGCGGGATCAACGGCAGCTTCTTGGTCCGGGAGAGTGAGAGCAGTCCTGGCCAGAGGTCCATCTCGCTGAGATACGAAGGGAGAGTGTACCACTACAGGATCAACACTGCTTCTGACGGCAAGGTGGGGCCCTGTCCGGGAGCCGGGGGGCTGCGGGGGCCCGAGGTCCTGCCGCAGAGTCCAACCACGATGTCCGCAGACACTTCCCAGCCGGCAGCAGGCGTTGTGCTGTCTGCCTTGTGAAGGGCTGTGTGTGAGGATGGCCACATGATGCCACGGGCTCTGGCCTACTGTGGTTCCCTTGTTGTCTTGCTGGAGTTTTATCAGCAGTCTGATGAGTTAGGTGGAGTATCTGTTGGGCTTTAGATATACTTTTTACATTAAGACTCATCCTTTTTATTTTGATAGTAATTCATCCTCAAAGAGTAAAATCAAATGGTAGGTGGTTATTTTTAAAGTGAAGATCACCTACTAGTAGCTTATCAAAGTAAGTCTGGTACATGCCTTCTGCCTATGGATAGAATCGTGTGTTGTGTGTCTGTGTGTGTACATACATACATACATACATACATATATACACACAGTTTTTAAACAAAAATGAGAATACATTATACCAATGGATTTCCAAACCCAACCGGTAGTTTTGTGAAGGAGTTGATAGAGATGGTTTTGTGATCTTTATATAAACAGTCCCTACGAGTCCATGAAGGGAAGGGAGGAATTAATATTTATACAGTTCCTAGTTTGCTGGGGCATTTTTCAGTCATTATCTCATTTAAACCCCACCTCAGTCCTCAAGGCAGATATGGCTGTCCCCTGCATTTTTGCATTAAGGAAATGGAAGCCCAGAGGGATAAAACTTCTTGCCCAAAGTCTCATGGTAATTGGTGGAACTACGCCTAGGTCCCACTGTCCGCTCTGCTGCACCACACAGTCACCAAGGTGTAGACAGGTGAATTGTCAGGTGGGTCCAGATGGTGTGTGTGTTTTTAACAATACAAAATGCATGCATGTGGCTAAAAAAAAGAACAGCAGAATGGATTAGTAATTCTGTCTCTTAATTCAGCTCCCCTGCCCAGAGGCAACCACTGTGACAGGTTTCTTCCAGAGTTGCTCAGTGTATATATGTTTATATTTTTAAATAAACACAAATGATGCGACTCCACATCTGATAATTCTTGGAGATTGTCTTATGGCAGCACATTTAGAGCTGCGCCATCCTTACTGATGACTGCACAGCATGGACGGGCCATCATTTGTTTAAGCAGTCCCTGCTGGTCAGCTTGCAGACTGTTTTCAATCCTTTGCCTGTTGTAAATAATGCTGTTATGAGATGGCTTTCAAATCTTTTTAAAAAGCTCAGTGCATTGTAAAAAAAAACATTTACATTTTTATACAATACTCACACGAGGAACAAAAGGTTTGTGAAATGCGTACTTTGTGTGATGAGCTCTAATACTTTGTATTCCATTCTGGTTTCTTTCATTTTCTTAAAAATTCTGGTCATAACCTGCTAAATTTATTTCATAGACCCATGAGTGGGTCATGACCTGTGGTTGGAAATCTATACTTCTTTGCCTGCAGTGCTAAGTGTCTGCAAGGTAAGGTGCTGGAATAGATTGAAGGTTAGGTGTATTTAAGATTTGTAGATACTGCCAGATTAACCTTCTACAGAAACCGTACAAATGTGTTTTCTCACGAGCAACATGTGACATGTGAGAGGCATGTTACCCCTCATCCCTTCAGTGATGTGTTACCATACTTGTGAAAACATCTGTGTCACTGATTGGTAAAGGCAGCACCTCATTATGTTAGGGTCCTATTTTGAGTGATCCCTATGCCATTTCATAAATTTCTGTTCCCCTGAATATTTGAAATACACCAAATTTACATGTATTTTATAGTTAAATAAGTGGTTTTAGGTCTTGATGTGCTTTCTGTTTTCTCTCATTGCTCTGTCTCTTCATGAGCCAATACCAGACTTTTCATCGTTATAGCTTTATAATATGTCTTCATATCTAGTAAGTCTAGTCTCCTTAATCTTTTATGTCTATCCTCACACATCTGTTCATATCATACAAATGCACATACATTTCTTAGCATCTTATCTGTTGTTTATTTTGCATGTCTCAGTCTTCGGGCTAGAGTCCTTACTGCTGATGAGGGATCCTGACGCTTTCCATCCTCGTAGACGTCTTGTTGTGCAGCCCTGTGGTTTGTATGACAGGCAGCATAGTCTCTTGTTGCTGTGCGACTAGAGGTCAGCCTTACCAGCTTGCTTTTTTGGTCATTGTTCTCGTCTCAGATGTGGAGCTAGGTCCTTCCGTTCTGCAGGATGCATTCCAGGGTGATGGACCCTTTGAAACCTTGCCTTTAGACCTGAAGGGTTCCATTTTGTTGAATTAGGACATCAGAGTGCACCGCCCATGAGGGCGGTGATTTCCTGGAGTGGACAGCTTGCTTCCCATCTGTGCTGTTTATCCAAGGCGAGCTGTGCCGCACCATGGTCATCGGTTGAGGTTTGTGCTGAACAGGGTAGTGGAGCTTTTCCCTGGAGTCGTTTAATCAGCATCCTTGGAACAGATGCAGGCAGGCATAATCTAGTTTGACAACTTGTTAGCTGGGGGTTGGTCCAAAATATTGTTCAAAGGAAGAGAGCAAGGCCTGTGTGGGGGACACACGATTTGCAGAATTTGACCCATCCGACAAGGAAGCCAGCCCCTCTGCCTAAAAGCTGGTGTGTGCCCGGGGTTCCTTTCCTTTCTGGGGGAGCATGGATGAGCCCGTGTCCACCACTGGGCCACTCATCACAGTGGGCTAGGCCCCTCAGCCTCCTCCCCCCATCCCTGGCAAAGACTCTCCCATCAGCTCTCTGAGCACCTGGAGACTCCTCGGCCCGTGGGGTCACCAGGCCGACCATCTGTGGAGGTGCCTCTCTGAGGGCCATGCTTAAGGGGCTGTTGGGTGGGGTCCCGCTCTGGGAAGGCGTGAGCAGCATCAGAGCGGGGAGCTGTTAGAGTGACACATGAGACAGTGTGGCTTGGCTTTGAGAAAAGCTGCTCACATAGCAGAGCTTTGATGCAATCTCTTCTGGATTTCTGAGGGGAAAATTTAAGGTTGGTGGGAGGGCCTGACTCGGGTTGAACAAGTTTGAGTCTTATTTTCAAATTAGCTAATCTTTAGAAAACAAATCCATTTAGAAGATTCTTCTCTAAGGTCCCAAAGGACTTCCGGCCTCCACCCTCTTGGCTCCAGTTTGCCTCTCATGTTTCTGAGCTCTCAGCTGTACATGTGGCTGGTCAGTCAGCCCAGGGCCACCCTCTCGGGGCCCAGAGCCCTGGACTCTGAGAGTGTCCAGGTGGATTCTCAACAGAGCCGTACCCAACCGAGCCATTGCTCTTTCCTAGTAGTCTTAACAGTCTTTAAAATGTTTGGATACTCTGGGATTTGAATGGACTTTTTCAGTTTGTAATTCTTCCCCACTCCGTCTAAATTGTTCTTAGTTCTGGTTATTTATTTGTGTCTGCAGCTTGCTTCTGTAGGGGTGCTGCTCTCCAGTTCCGTAGGTTCCTATAGCCCTTGATGGAGTCTTTCCTTTTCTCTAGAGAGGTGCCCAGCTGACATTTATTTTGGTAGTCTGCTGCAGTGACAGGTTCAGGTGGGTAGAAATGGAATTTGGGCTTTACCTTTTGTGGAGGTGGCAAGGTGGGCCAACTGAAGGGCATCATGAATTCTTAAGATTTACCCACCCTGACAGTGGCTGTGCAGGCACAGGCATCCTGGTGAAAAGCCTGCTAAAATAACGGCTGGCCTTCCCTTGCCGAGGAGACTGGGCACATTTTTAGTTACTGCTTCATTATTAAATACTGCCTTCCTGCTGATGTGTGAGGGGCTCTCCGGGCAGCAGGGCTTCCCAGCTGAGCAGCCGGTAAACATCACATCCAAGGTGGGACTTGGCGGTCTGAGGCAGCTAAAGGGTGCACAAGTCTACGTCTGATAAGCCTGTGAGTCTGGCTGTCAGTAAGAAAGCCATTTCTGGTGAGTTTCTTTGACAAGTCCTATCTTTTGAGTTCCTGCATGATTAAGAGGAGGCGCAGCCCCTGGCTGAGCACCCAGAATGTTTATGTAACTGGGTGCATAACATAGTGACATGCCATTCATAATGCTAATTTCACTTTCTTCTCCGAACATGCCACGAATTCTTGATGAAGATTATTACCTTCATTACCAAAATGCTGCTCAAAAACTAGAACTAATCAGAAGGAAGCCAACAGACTGGACTGTTAGCAGAAGTTGGCTATGCAGTACGTTTAAGGGAGAGTGGCTTTAATATTTAATAAGTGTCAGTATGTAAATTTTATGGTGAAAGATGAACTAAGTCACAGGGTCTGTAAATTTAATTATTGAAAAGGATGAAGTCTGCCCATTCACTGAAACCTCCTGTAACTGAAATCTGTAAGAGGCGCCTGTGAGGGAATCAGAGGGGACCGAGAACAAATTCTGCATAAACGAGGACTGGGGGGCACCATTAGTATTCTGTGGGATTGAAGGCACTTGACCTTTGGGTTGGGTGGCTCTTCTTTCAAGCTGATGGGGAGAAATAGGTAATGTACCTTGCTCCCCGGTGACCTGCCCCAGGAGCCCAGCAAGTGCCCCCTGCTGTGCCCGTGCTTCCCGAGATGGGCGGTGCTCCGATTGCAGGGAGTACTGTTCCGGGCTGGCTTTTTTCTCCTCACCACACTCCTCGGTAGGGAAAGCACCGTCAGTGGGCCTAGCCCAAGAGAAGCGGGGCTTGGAGCATTTGCAACCTGCAGTAAAGTAATTGGACAGCTGAAGTTTTCCAGAGCGGGGCTGGGATGAGGCTCTGTCCCTACGTCCCACTTGATCTTCTCATGAACTGCACTGACATTGGTGACTTCCACTGATGAGTGCCATGCACGTCAGTGTGTGGGCAGGAAACAGGACAGGCTCTGTGGAGCCAGCTTCCCCTCCTCGGCCCTCCCCCTGCACTCAGTGTGCTGTTCAGGAGCCCGCGTGTGACTCACAGCCTGTCCCTGGAGCAGTTCACGTAGCGGTTTCTCCTCAGTACTCAACTCTGAAGCGTTACAGTGAGCCGCCCCTCGCCTGGAGGCCTGCCATTCAGAGGGACCATTTTACCGAGGGACAAGTTCCCAGAGCTGCGGGGTCCTTCTGGATAATTCTCGGGTTTCTCAGAAATTTATTTTAGGTTTGCTATCAAATGTTTGTAAATTCTATACCTGTAAGTCAGAGTTTGCCACTGACTTGTCTTAGGTTTAAAAATTAATTTGTCATCTCCCCAAGCAAAAAAAAAAAAAAAGTCTCCTTGTTAATCAACCCTATTTACCCTCCTGAAAGTTGCAAACAGGATCAACTTTTATACTAGCTATTATTTATTTTCCTTTAAAAATATTTCCATCTGATACTATAGACATACAGAAAGGAAGGAGCCTGCCATCCCCAGCAGCCCAGGCCTCGTCCTGCCCTGGGTGCTTCATGCTTTCCCTTCCCTTTTCTTTAAGTAGTAAGACAGCTACAGCTGATGGATGCTCTTCCTTTTCCTCCCTCTGCCCCCTGTCCCAAATCTGTCCTCCCCCCGCCCCATGCCTTTGCAGCTTGGACAGGTGTCAGGGACACCTTGTGATTTTCAGTGTCCTTTCTGTCTTCAGTGGCTATTGGCTGCTGTCAGGGAGCGAGTAGGTTCAGTTGTGTGCCTGGAGCCCAGATGTTCTATGTGGATTTTAATGTGGAATCGTTTTTTCAAAGGAAGCATCCCTTCACCACCTCACTCAGGAACCACCCACACTGCTGCTGCTTGTCAGCCCGCTCCTTCCCCTCCCTCCCGTCTTGCACCCGTGTGAGAACTCCACAGGATGGGTTCCCTGCACGGGCTCTCCCGCTGCAGATCTCAGAGACTCGCGGGACCTTGAGTCTGCCGTCCTTTCCTTCCTTCCCTGGGGAAGAAAAGGCTGAATGGCCTTTGTGCAGCCCTCCGGGCCCCACTCTGTTCCTGGAAAGTGCTAATGGGCATCCCATGTGGCACGCAGCTGGGGTTTGCAAGCGTTGGCCTCTGGTGCTTCTTACTCAGCCCAAGTCGAGGGAGAAGGAATGAGAGGGAGGTTTATCTTTTATTGAATGATTTTCATCTCTGATTACTGTTTAGTTCTAGATAATTATATAATCATAGGTTTTAGGTAGTAAGCATAATTACTTAAAAATGTTCTTTTCCAGTCAGTAAACCCTAAGTATTGCTCTTCATTAGTTTAATCAGCAACTTTTTGTTAGCACCTATTAAGTGCTCATTTCTTGTTCTGGATGTTGGAGATACAGGGTGGAAACAGTTCAGGACTCTACTCTCAGGAAGCAGATGTGCTCGTAGGTGGAGGCACACTGCAGCCAGGCAGACCAATGGGAGTATCAGTTGGTGGGCAGTGCAGTGCAGAGAAGCTAGTGCTGGGGGATGACTCTGGGTTAGGTAGCCAGGGGTACTGCATGGACACTTACACTGGGCTCCGAACTGTAAGGAAGAAGCAGGTATGTGATTAGGCGGGTGGAGGGTTTCAGGCAGAGGACTGGCAGATGCAAAGGCTCTGAGGCATTTTGTCATGACTTTCTGCTCAGAAATGATAGCACTTGCAGAGAAACACAGTGTGAGTGGTTTTCTGCACATCGCATCCCGTGTGGAGTGCTGTTTTATCTGAGACGTTGCCATGTGTTCAGTCAAGGCCCCACAGAGCCGGTCTGTTGAGGTGTGCGCGTCTGTGCGAGCCGTGGCTGAAGGCTGTCCTCCTCCCGCAGCTCTACGTGTCCTCAGAGAGCCGCTTCAGCACCCTGGCCGAGCTGGTCCACCACCACTCGACCGTGGCGGACGGGCTCATCACCACACTGCATTACCCAGCCCCCAAGCGCAACAAGCCCACCGTCTACGGCGTGTCCCCCGACTACGACAAGTGGGAGATGGAGCGCACGGACATCACCATGAAGCACAAGCTGGGCGGCGGCCAGTACGGGGAGGTGTACGAGGGCGTGTGGAAGAAGTACAGCCTCACGGTGGCCGTGAAGACCTTAAAGGTAGGCGCCCAGCCAGGGCTGTGACATGCGGTGCCCCCAGGGAGCCCGGCCTGTGCGCCCCGAGGGGCAGACTCTGCGGCGCGCGCGTCTCAGGCCCCTCCACGCGCCGGACCATTCTTGTGACCTCAGCGTGTTCCCACGTACGGCGAGGGCCAGGAGGGCTGCGGTTTCGGTGTGAAAAGATTAGTCATTTGGAGTTTTTTCATCCTGTGGCAGGATTCTTTTAAAGCCCGTGGGTTTCCGTTCTGTTTGTGTGGCATTTGGATCACTTCCTATTGAGAGTTAAGAGAAAGAAGAAGAAAACAGAGCTTTGAAACAGGAGATTAAACCAAAATGCATTTGACCCTTCCGTGGACTTTTGCTGGCAGGTTTGGAAGGCACGTGCGTTGGGTATTCCTAGCAGCCCCCCAGTTCTCTGCATCTTGTCCAGAGCTGCCCCCGTTAGAAAGGCTTGAAGGAAGCGTTTAGGTTTCTTACCAATTCAGATACCATCCGTTCCTTCTTCTTAACTATGGCCTTCACTCTTTCAACTAAAACAGCGTGTTGCTTCCAGGCAGTTTGTTTTTCTTTTGCGGTTCTTCGGGAGGCAAGTTTTAATTTGCAGCCTTCTGCCTTCTTCAGAATGGGATCTGCGCTTTTACCTACAGCGAGAGTGTCCCCTAGTGTTGACCGGCATTATCTTCACCAGTTTTAAAAGAACTCCAGTTATGTTGACCACTGCACAGAAGTAGGGAGAGAAGCAAGCCCCTTTTGTGGTTATTAGAAAAGAAAAAGAACCAGAATATCCATGGGTGGGAAAAAAATGGACCCGAGTATGTACATGCTGCTCCAGAGTCGGTTTTGAAACTGGTACAGCCAGAACACTTGGCTTTTAGGGACACTCGCTTTCCTAATGCCTTTACTTAGAGGCACAGTAAGTGCAGCTTACGGTTTCTGGCAGATAGACAGTGACACATCAGAGAAAAGATCACATTCTGTAGTGTCAGAGACCACTGGGGACCTCCTGGCGCTCATGTAGGATATGTCCCCTTAGGTCAGTCCTGGGGCAGGACCCACACTTGAATGGGGAATGGTTGGGGGGCATGATTTGGGGTCACTTTGAGGACTCCTGGATATTCTTCAGGTAGGGTTTTTTAAATTTAATAAGCATTCACTGAGTTCCTCACTCCTATCTGCCAGACTCTGGGCTTAACACTGGGATTGTGAACGTGAATGCAAGTTGTTCACGTCAGACTAGCCTGGGTAGTTAGAATAGGCTCGTTGGTAGTAGGTAGTCTAGTCGATGGGAGAAACTGGCAAGTATAACAGGAACTGCTTCTCAGTGACCCGGCACACAGTGCAGGCCTGGAAGTGGAGCCAGGCCCCACATGGGGGAGAGGAGGAGGGACCAGTGGGACTCGGTGGGAAGAAAGCGTGAAAGGGACAGTGAGCAGTGCCAGGGTGGACATGCAGGAGTGGGCCAGAGAACAGAGGCAGAGAGAGCACAGAGGGCACAACAAGTCCCCGGGAGCTCGGGCTGTCAGCCTGGAGGCAGTGAGCACATTGAAGGGTTTGATGCACGGGAATGCAAAGACTGGATTTGTGTTTTACAAAGGTGGCTGCGTTGGCAAGCCCGTGAAAGAATTACGGCTGTTGCCTGGCGTCGCACAGTCCAGAAGAGCCAGGGAGGGGGGGTGTGTGTGTGTGTGTGTGTGTGTGTGTGTG